GTCTGTTATTGGCTGAAGCGCAGGGCTCCACCCCAGGAGTTTGAATAGTGCCAGTCAAACCCAAGAGTGTCGGTGTTCTGACGATTTGTGCTACCCCTCAGATTGTGCTAGCTCCCATTAAAAAGATAGGAAATCGATAGCGAAAAATGCTACCTATCAGATTGTGCTACCAGCATCTTATTCATGTGGTTTGAGGCTTTTTTTTTTATGTCCATACCTACCCCTACCCTAAACCTACCCGTCCACACCTACCGGATGACTGTGCCCTACCCTAAACCTACCCGTCCACACCTACCCTTACCCTAAACTCACCCTTAAAACAATGCAAATATATTTTTGGTAGCACAATCTGATAGGTAGCATATCGGTACACCTGCTCACTCTGTTTCTCCATCGGCGCCTTCTTTGTCCATTTTTTTTTTGTACTTTGTACTTTTGGTGAAAAATATATGTAGCTGAATACTTTAGTTTTATTCTACTGAAGTAAAAGTAAAAGTACCACAATTTAATTATACTCAAGAAAGTAGAAATTTTTTAAAACGAAAGTATTTGTACTTTCCACCTCTGGTAATTAGTAATTCCTTCTGAAGAAATTGGTAATAATTGAGTCACTAGTGCTTTACCATGACCTTCACTTTAGAATTAATTATACATTATGCATTATTCATATTAAATTTGAACCTGTATACAGTAGTTCTTAGTTCTTCTTGGGGAGGTATGGAAAAAATAGTAGCTCCTGATTAACTAATAGTGAACTACCACATTAGATTAAGCACTATTATTTACTAATTCATTATTTAGAATTTCTTGTTAGTTACTAGTGTTTACTAGAGTGCTAATATTGTGTTACACATGTGTTCTTGTGTAGTTATTCATTAATGACGGAACAGTATTCTAAAGTGTTACCCAATCTACTATATGGGAACCTTCATGAATGTTATCAACTGCCATTGTTTATTGATTCTTTGTTTTAGATTGTGAATTGTGAAGGACTTTGGGCAACTTTTGTTGTATTAAATGGTGCTACATAAATAAATTCATTGAAATTAACTCTGGCCATCAAGAGACAAACAGAGGCTGTTGTATGTTTATTGTTGATCCATAAAACATAGTGAAAAAGGTAACACAAGAAGTATCTCCTTTTGGAAAATAACCTGCGAACTGCCAAACCACCAGTCGGTACTATTCTCTTTAAAATGAGCAGAAGAACTTTGTGCAAACTGTTTAATGGCATAATAAACAAACAAAACACCTCACAGATGTCACAACAGAACAAGTCTGATTACAGTTTACAGTACAGACATCTTTTAAATTTGGTTACATACAGCACATTAAACATTACAGGTTGATGTTTATTTATATAGTATTTTTTACAAAATTCATTAAAAAAAATTGCTCATGCATATAAGTCACTGTCATTAAGGAGGAGAATGTTAAAAAAAACCACTTAAGGATTAGAAATGAAAGAACAATAAATAAGTTATACAAAATAAGTATATTAAAAAATATACACCTTACTTCTGCATCCCGACAGTTAAGATGGAGGGAATGCTAATGCGGGGATGCAGTGGTTTAGATCTCACTCTCATATGTGTGTAAGTACGTTTTTAAAGAGAGGATCTCCTCATAGGTCCTGCTAGTGCGGCGATAAAAGTCCAGTCCTGTAAGTAACTCCACGTCTCTTATACGTGCTGTGTGTGTCTTTATCAGTTCCTCGACCCACTTTGTCTCGTCCTCTGAACTCTGGATGAAGAGAAGTGTTAAACACTCAAAAAGCAGTTCTTGTCTGTTATTGTACAACAAACCTGCACAATTTTAACTCACTCAAATTATTCAGCTTCTGCATAAAAGGATATACTGGGTTAATTTCATCCTATTTTCTATGTGCCACATCTGTGACTTGCTGTTGTGTACCACTACAGACAATAAAAATGATTAAAGTTGACATGAATGTAACCTGGGGCAGGTGGGGTTGGTAAATGTTTTTATTAGCAGAATTTCTTCTAATAGCTGAATACTTGCATATTTACAGTACTATCAATCATAACAGTGGCACTGTCAGACTGCCCGTATAAGCTTCCATTCACAAATATATTTACTGTAAACGTGTCTTAATCAACAGCATGGCAGAGGAGAGGAGAAAAGAGAAGAGAAGAGGACTCACATTACAGCTTTCATCATTATCTGATCGGTGTGGAAGGATGAAAGAGAACACACTGAGAGGACCAACACAGGAGTCAACACTCTGTGTGTAATCCAGACAACTTGTAACCACAATGTAGTAATGACTTGGGATTTGCACATAGCCACTGACATACCTGTAAACAAAGGAAGAGTTACATACTCAGACTGAAGGATTATATAAATTCAAGTACATCTTAGGACTTGTACCACTTGTTGTCAACTAGTCTTCAATCAGATAACTTCAGTTGCAGCATGGATCTGGCAATGGAGATAAGCATGCATTCATCACACACACCACAGACATTCTCTTCACTCACATACTGTTTGTTAAAGCAGCATTGCCAGAAACAGCAAAGACTGCTGATGCTGCATGTGGAGTCATTCACATAAGATAAACACTGACTCAAAAACCTGTCAACTGCTGGTGCACTTAAATGAGCTAATTTATAAGTGATAAGTCTAAAACCGTGAAGACAACTTACTGTTTTATTGTCTCTGCTGAATCCCTAAGACCATTGTAGTCATAGTCGAAGATGGGTCCAACAACCACATTCACTCCATTTCTCTCACTAGCATAACGTCTCACAAGTGATTTCTGAAAATAACCCCACACACCTGAAACAACCAAACAAAGCTATAAGAGAGAGATATATAGACAGAAATATTAATTGTTAAAAGACAGATAGGAAGAGATATGGATCTTTAAAGGACAGAACAAAGAGATTAGAGATTAGCACAATGATTTGAATTTCAGAATTTCTAAGTACTGTGAAGTACAAGTTTGTTGCAAATCTGAAAATGAATATGAAACATGGAAGAGAAGAAAAATCAAAAGACAATCTGGCCTCTTGTACATGGGTGTTGTTTTTATTTCTAATTATTATTTTTTTAACTCAACCAGGCATCAGATGTTTGTTCTTACTTCCTTTGGGAGGTTTCAGACTAGTTTCTGCATAGGGAAACTAATATATATCACCTCTCTAAGAATCAACATAATAATTATTAACTGAAAATGTGATGTTGCAATCCTACTGTAATTCTTACAATAAAATAGGGGGGAACATTTTTAAATCTACTGGTTTTATTATTGTTGTTGTTATTATTATTAATATTATTTTCTCAACAATATGAATAAATCAACCTAAATAAGTTCATTTATACCAACATTTTTTAAATTAGTTTAATCAGGCAGAAATAGTTCTTTAAGGTAACAACTACAGGTTACTACGGTGGACCAGTAGTGCACAACACAACGAAATCTCCACAACACAACGAAATCGCCGCAGCACAACAGAAACAAGCTACAACTACGGTGACCGGGAGGGGACATGTTCGGTTATATCTCTAAAGACACTATTAGGTTATGGGGTAATGCAATCAAGAATATATGGAGAATTGTTTAAGTATTTAAAAAAGCCAAGATTAATGGAAAGAGTTTGAAGTTTTGAATTTTGTATTTATTTATGTAAAAATTTTGGTTTATTTTATTATTATTATTATTATTTTAAAAAAAATCTATAATAGTTGAATAATTCATAGCTGAACCGTGTACGTTTCACACTCCAGACCAGTAGGTGGCAGACATGCACCTTTAACGTTGGAGTGCCAATCCGCCAAAAAAACTTGAGAGAAGAAGAAGACGACGACATGTTCGGTTCACTTATTTCTGTCGTGGCCACGACATATTAACTCGAGATATTAATTCGTGGGAATGTCATATTAACTCGTGGGATCGTGATATGTCGTGGCCACGAGATCATTTTGTTGAAGGAACAACATCCATTTCTCGTGGCCACGACTTCTTATGTTGAGGGAACGGTATATTTTTCTCATGGCCATGAGTTTAATGCATAAACAAACCTGCGTGACCATAGCAACCTACAATTATCAGAGATGGATAAAACATATTTATCCATCCCACAGTCTTGTAAATTTGTTAACTGATCATGTCTTTTTATTTAATATTTGTATATTATTATTATTATTATTATTATTATATGTATTATTATTATTATTAAACTGTAATATAATAATATTATTATATTAACTGGTTTAGGGCTATATTTTAATATTTATTGTTGTATTTACCCTTTCAAGTGTATTGCTTTACCTAATTACCGTTCTGTATAATTATTATTAATATGCTACCATATATTTTGCAAATACTGTAAACGCCTGACAGTTATGCCAATAAAGTTTTGACTTTATGATTCTGCCAGTGTAACGATAAATGAGCGTGTTGTGTTCATTCATTTACAAATTCATTCCTCAACTAAATTATAGTCTATTAATTAGCCGACATAAAAAAAAATATGTTAATTTCAACCTTTAAACTGCACTTCCAGTAAAAATTCCAGTCATACAGCATAATCAAAGCATGTCGAGCATTTACAGTAGGCAATTATTTACAAAACTATTCTGAACATTAAAGGGTTAGTTCACCCAAAAATGAAAATTAGCCCATAAATTACTTACAAGATCCAACCATGCCCCCTGGATCTTTGTTCTGCAGTGAGGGGCTACTGGACATAACTGACTGTTTTTGTAACTTGTGTGTTTTTAACGTAAATTTGTGTGTGAATGAAAACTTAGTTTAGTACGCACATGCCGTGTGACAGCCACTTTCTGGTCCGTGTGCTTTGGATGTGTGCACTCAGAAAACCGTATATCAGAAGTTTGAACTAATATGGTTTAAAACGCATGATTTCAGCGAGATAAACATGATAATCAGAAACAAAACAGATGTTTTTAGCAGGTACAAGCTGTAATGGCGCAGCTCTAGAGATGGTCCTCACTGTAAAACACAAGATCCAGGGGGCGTGGTTGGATCCAGATCCAACTCCTCCCACCTTATATATACCTAAACCTACCCGTCTCCACCCCCTGATCCCTAAACCCACCCATCTCCACCCCTAAACCTACCAATCTCCACCCCCTAGATGTGGATCCAACCATGCCCCCTGGATCTTATGTTCTGCAGTGAGGGGCTACTGCAGCTCTATTCTGGAAAAGGGGGCGGGGAGCAGCAGCTCATTTGCATTTAAAGAGACATGCTCTAATACAGCGTTTTTCTGCTTCCACTCCAAATAGGCATTTTCAAAATTATATAATAAATTATATATGGGTTATTTTGAGCCGAAACTTCACAGACACATTCTGGGGACACCAGAAACTTATATTACATATTGTAAAAAGGGCCATAATATGTCTCCTTTAAAGCATCATTTACGTGGCCGCGAGAAACAGCATTATGAAATGAATTCAACAGTAATAATATGTGCAAGTTCAAGAGTCCATGAAATCATCGGTATGGTACTGTATAGTAAATTGTTCAAAATTAAGGTTTCGTTAGTCCATTACCACTATATAAAGCTTGCATGTTACCTTTATAGAAGGCAGCGGCTATTTGCAGTGTAAGTAGAATATTTTAGATGCTGTTTACACTAATTGACAACAGAAAGTATTTTATGGATACACGGTTTACACAAAATGAAAATTCTATTTACACTATGTATTTTCTTTGCAATAAGTGTAAATAGTCGTTAGACATTATTTATCGGCTATAGTCTATATAGTGGAAGATGTTTTTCACCTCAGTTTTGTTGTACATAAACAGGATGCAATATTACTATAGAGTGTAAATTATTATATTTCTTAAAAATATTAAATGGATTGGGACAATAAAGCTCTGCCCTATACCCCTGACCTCGATATACTTCATTATTAAACACTCGTTATGCACATTATTTCCAATATTGTGCATAATATTTTCTACATTGAAAGTAAATGCCTTTCTGATCTGATATGTGATGTGAAAAAGGAGAAGAGCAATCCGGCAAAAGGTGGACTTGAACTCGGGTCGATCGCGTCAAAATGCTACTTTTATGTGCCTTACTCGCTATGCCACTGCTCTGTTACCCGGTGCATGTCATTTTTAATTTTGTGTGGCCCAACCAGACATTGGTTAGCGTAATTAGTGTAAATAGCCTATATGTCAAAAAGGTTAGTTGCACTTAATGTAACCACTCCGTTATTGAAATGGCACCATGCTATGGGGTGATATATATATAATGTACTGTCCCATAGAAACTTTAAGGGTTTGTGAAAATATACTGGATATCAAAATTTGGATTTCGTTAGATCATTAGACCCTGCATTAAATCCCTCGGCTCATTCAACTTAACAGCCACTAAGCGGAGCCATATTTATTAAAGAGGAGCTCACACATTAAAAAGTAGCAAATATATATGTTTGTGTGCATAGGAACAATTCCGTTGTGTTGAGCTAATTTCATTGTGTTGTGGCATGTTTCCGTTGTGTTGTGCTAATTTCGTTGTGTTGTGGCTTGTTTTCGGCTTGTTTCCGTTGTGCTGCGGTGATTTCGTTGTGTTGTGGCTTGTTTCCATTGCATTGTTCTAATTTTGTTGTGTTATGGCTTGTTTCCGTTGTGTTGAGGCGATTTCGTTGTGTTGTTTGTGATTTCTGGTTTGTGATTGTAGCTTCGTCTAGCTCTGTTTTTCTGTAAAATCTCTATTACTCTCTGTTGTTTAAAGTGATAAAATATAACTTAATTCCCACCATATTTCTGATATTATCTATCAACCTAATCTGAGAGATTTCGCTGTTTGTGCACTACTGGCCACCATAGGTTACCACTTTTTACAGAGTACTAGGAGAGGATAAAACACACGTTTTTAAAATAAATAAATAAATAAATACATTTTGCCAGCACCCCTGTTATCACCTCTCTAAGGATCAACATGCTCACTAATTATTAACTGAAAGTGTGATGTTGCAATCCTACTGTAATTCTTACAATAAAATAGGGGGAATGTTTTTTTTGTTTTAATCTACTGGTTTTATTATTATTGTTGTTATTATTATGAATATTATTTTTTCAAAAATATGAATATAGCTAAATAATTCATTTATACCAACAATTTTTTTATGAGTTTAATCAGGCAGAAATAGTTTTTTAAGGTAACAACTGCAGGTTACCACTTTTTACTAGTACTAAGAGAGGATAAAACACATGTTTTTTTAAATAAATAAATAAATTAATACATAAAAAAACAGAGCACATACTGTGCTGTAGTATATTGAAAGGGCTGTGTCTCTATGTGGGTGGCAGCTCAGTTAAATGCCTGAGTCCATCACAGCTAATCTAAAGCAGACACAGCATACATCAATGCCTTCTCATTTCACCTCTGCTGCCAAACCCTCTATATAGACATTTATAGATTCCAGAGATGCAGATTCCATTCGGGGAGTCCATTTGAACAGTAATAAAAGAAAAATTTGTTTACATCTAAATGACGTTTTCTGTGAATATTTATGCAAGTATTTTTGTTTGGGTGTCGAGGGGATACAAAGCGTGTGCACAGTTCCTGAAACAGAGGTGGCTCTCATACAGTGGCCTGTTTTCAAAGTCCTACCACAGGCCACACACACATACTGCTTTTAAATCACAGACAGATGTACAAATAAATTCACCTACAAGGGCGAGTGCACACACACAGAAACACACTTAATGTAGTTTCATTACCTTTTTTGTAGGGGTTTCTGGGGGCCATTAAAACAACTCTATTTTGAAATATCAGTTTCAATATCAGTATCAATATCAGTTCAATTCAGTACTGATATCATTTCAATATCAGTATTCAATATCAGTTTCAAGATTATTCTAATGGTACACTTCTAATAAGGCTTACCAGGTAAGCTGTACCAGGTAAGCTTCGAAAGTTTGCAACCTCGCAAACCAATATCTGCTAACTTGTAATAGTATATACCAGGGGTGTCAAACTCAATTCATGGAGGGCCGGAGCCCTGCATAGTTTAGATTCAACCATAATTAAACACACCTGATCCAACTAATCAAGTCTTTCAGGCTTATTTGAAAGCTACATGGTATGTGTGTTGAAGCAGTGTTGGAACAAAACTCTGCAGGGCTCCGGCCCTCCAGGAATTGAGTTTGACACCCCTGGTCTATACTGTCAAAGCCAGGGGTGTCAAACTCAATTCTGGTGGAGATCTGGTCAAAGCTATATTATGTGCAGTGTGGCCTATTGTGTCTCCAGCATTTAATTACACACATACATATTCAAATGCTTAGCACTCAATGTATTTGTGAAAACGTTAGCAATATTTCTTCTTGGCATCAATTTCCACTGTAATTAAGACAGTGGTACATTCATGACACTGTAGGAGGGTTATAAAGTAATAAAAATACACTTGAAGGGAAAGTTCACCCAAAAATGAAAATTCTGTCATTAATTACTCACCCTCATGTCATTCCAAACCCATAAGACCTTCATTCATCTTCGGAACACAAATTAAGATAATTTAGATGAAATCTGAGAGCTTTCTGACCCTGCATAGACAGCAATTGCAACTGAAATGTTCCCAGGCCCAGAAACGTAGTAAGGAGCTACAACTTTCTGAGCCTGGGAACGTTTCAGTTGCATTGCTGTCTATGCAGGGTCAGAAAGTTCTCAAATTTCATCAAAAATATCCTAATTTGTGTTCCGAAGATGAACGAAGGTCTTACGGGTTTTGAATGACATGAGGGTGAGTAATTAATGACAGAATTTTCATTTTTGGGTGAACTATCCCTTTAACTACACATAGTTTCTTTAAGGTACACTTACGTTTGAATGCTGGATACATTGGTACAGTGTTGGTAATGAGAACAGCATCATATCTCACTCCCTGAGAGGAGGACAACTCTAAATTAGAAGATCATGGAAGAAAAAATTAGACAAACATCAAATCATAAAGCATTGTAGTCAAAATTCTTGCAATTTGTTGACAATTTTGTGTACTAAAAACAATGCTCTGACCCAGTCATTTTCTGTTTATTTTTCATTTTAAAGGTGACCTATTATGCCTCTTCCAACAAGGTAATATAAGTCCCAGGTTCCCTAGAATGTGTCTGTGAAGTTTCAAATCAAAATTGTAATTTATTATACCATGCCGTAAATGTCACTTTTTGGATGTAAGCCAAATCTATTTTTGTGTGTGTATGTTTAAATGCAAATGAGCTGCATCCCCCACCCCCCTTCCAGATCTGGGCTGTGCCTCTCATCTCCATCAGAATTAATAACTCTGAGAATGCACCAGGGTGTTTCTGAATGTTTAGTTGACAAATTAATGTAATTGTGTAGAGTTTTTTCAGCTGTTTTGCAACAATGGATAAGCAACACACTAAATACTGTAATGATGTTTGATATGCACTATAAAGATACATGATACATATAGTAGAACTTTAGTGTCACCACTAGCTGCTCTAGCGAGGAGATAAACATGACAGACTGTGTACAGTTCACTCATGGGAGGATCAAAGCTAACAGGGAACATTCCATCACCAGCCGTGGATGGTACCTTTCCCAGTGTGATTTGGGAAAACACATTTGGTTGCAGACATGAGCGACTCATTTGGAGACACTGCTTTTAAACTATGGGGGAAAAAAAAAGAGTGGGTGGGATTTTACTATATAGGATGGTTGTATACACACACTGCAGACACAAAATTCTGTTCAAAAATAATTATAAGTTAAAAATAAGTGAATTTTGCATAATAGGTCCCCTTTAAGAGTAACATTTAATTTTATCCTTTAATACAGTTTCATTTGGGTCCAATAAACTTGATCATCAGGATAGAAACAGATTAAGCCCAGTGCTATAAAAGCTCTGTCTGGTTGGTTCCTGGAACTGGCCTAGCTTCGGTACATGAAACCGCTTATGCTAGGCTGCACAATATAGAGAGAGTAGGAAACCTCACGAGGTGGATAGAGGAAGCTGTAGGAGATCTGTTTGTCTGCACGGTAGTTTGAGCAGGACTGACTGTAGACTGTAGGAACTCTAATATCAGGCCGAACACAGTTGCTCAGAGCCTCAGTCAGAGGAGTGAAATCTACCTGCAACAGAACATCCACACAGACAGGTTTAAACTCTAGTACAACAGTCAACTATAAACAGACTAACATAATTTTGTAAACTGTACCTGCTTAGATACAGTATAAGACGTCCAGAGAGGCATGGACAAAGCTTCACTGTAACCACTAATGTAGTCATTATGATGAAGGATGTAGTATTTGGTGAGGATCATGACTGCTGGCCGACCGTAAGGAAGATTTTTGTTGTCTAAAAAGGAAAAAAAAGGCATTAGTAATCTTTTAATCTGAAAAACAGAGACAAAATATTACTACATCCATTAAAATTCCATGCAACCAAAATTTTAAATCATAAAACTAATTTTGGGTCCACATGAGGGTGAGTAAATGAAAACAGAATTTTAATTTTTGGCTGAACAAGTCAGGGAAGGGTTAGTTCACCCAAAACTAAAAATTGTCAATTGACAATACCCTTTACCAGCATGGTATTCCATATGACTTACTTTCTTCTATGGAACATAAAATGAAAATTTGGCAATGCCCTGATCTTTTCCACACAATGAAAGTGGATATTGGGGCTCCTTTAGACATATCTAAAGGCACCATATTCAAATTTGAATGCAAGCATAAATAATATTTGAGCTCTGGTGGATAGTAGTTCAAATAGTAGAGTCTGCGGCAATGCCATCGCACATTGAATGCAATGTAGGCACTTTTGGATTAAAGCATCTGCTAAATACATAAAATGTAATCATCAGTGAATAAATTTAGGTCACATATCACATAACTCCAAAAGACAATAGCACACAAGTCGAACTATCAACTCTTAGATACATACATCATGTGTTTTTGACAGCTGTGGTCACTATGAACTGTCCTTGTAAGGAAAATGTTTCTCCTTACAAAATTTCTCCTTTTGCATTTCTTGGAAACAATAACAGCATGCAAATTACATAAGAATGACTAAATACTGACAGAGTTTTATATTTGGGTGAACTATTCCCTTTCAATCAGCAAATAATTTTAAGATAACACTCATTGTGAACCATAGCTGCTAAATCACAGTGCAAGTACTGTACATAAAACAACGCATACAGCATCACTAAACCAGTCCAAAGAGAAGGGTATGGATTTACCATCAATAACTTGTCTCAGTCGTTGATTGAGCTCTTCCACTTTGTTCTGTAACAGACAGAGCCACAGTGACTCCAGGTTATAGCCTCTTACTAGGGTCACTTTCAATGCCCTCTGCCCCCTACTTTTTGAATGCAACTGCAAAAGATTAAAGGTGAAAACCTCCAGCAAGAGATCTACATCTGAGCAGAAGGCAAAAGCACTTTTAGAGGCAAGGGAAGGAATCACTTTGGTCCAATAAAAGGAATTGGAAATGTCAAAATAATCTATAGGTCAGGGGTTTCCAAACCATTCCTTGAGCCTCCCCAGCACTACACATTTTCGGTTGTCTTCATTATTTAACCCAGCTGTACAAAAGATCCAGAGAACGTCTCCGGTTACTGTCGTAACCTCGGTTCCCTGAGAGACGGGAACGAGACATGGCATTAACGCCTTGGGGATTCCCTTCCTTCCTAACCTACCTGAAATCTTATTGCACAACGCCAGTGAAGTTGCAACTCTCACTGGCCAATGCCAGCCAAGACGGCGAATAGGGGCGGGGCCCCCGCCACTATATAATGCGCCGTATTGGCGGCATAAGCTCAGAATCTTCCGACTGAATCAACAGCACAGCAGACCTGAGCAGTGAACACGGCGGCCTACGCCATGTCTCGTTCCCGTCTCTCAGGGAACCGAGGTTACGACAG